CACGTTCCATCCTGTATTAGAGTCTTAGGGTGAGATACTTACAGTAGAGGTTTCATGTTGTTGTTGTTGTTTTTTTGGTGAAATTAACGTTGGTTGTCTTTTTTTCATAATATACTCCTACAGAAGCTTATATAATTTGTTAGATAAGTATAGATGAATATATAAGAAAAAAGCGATATCAATTATAACTAGATGAGTTTAAAGCAGAAAAGTCTGTTAGAACAGTATCATTGATTAATTATAGTTACCCCAGCGTAGCAAAATTAAGGAGCGAACAGGTGTATCAACTTACCTGGCCACCAAGCGGTGAAGGAGAGTTCAAGCTGAGGCTGAACGGTCGTGTTTCTGCCGCCAGAATCGAATATCTGCTGTCGAACCCCTCCCGTGTGGAATCCTTCGCTGTCTCCTGCCACCGCCGACAAGAGTTCCGACACGAAGTCATTCTCCTCCTGACGTGGGAGAAAAAAATCTTTGTATCGCCAGGCTTTGATGTGTTCAAGATTCTTGTTGGTTCGCGCATTCTGGTTAATGCTAATTATGTATAAACAGATGACATTGAATATAGTCCACAACATTGATACGGACATTTATGGTTAATGGTAATTATGTACGAATAGATGACATTATACTCCACAACAATGAAAGGAACTGAACGAATTCTGATACTAATAGCGCGTTTCTTTCTTTGTTTATTGCTTGGTTATTCTATTCCTTTCCAAGCAATCATCAGAAGTTCCTTTTTTGTGGTCTGGTTCAAGAAACGTTCACAAGAAACGTTCACTAACCTTGGAAGTAATAGAGAGAAGCCTGGCGCCTCGGGTGGAGCATCTCATCCTGGCTTCGGCGTGAGTAAAAAGGGAAGACTTGTGCACGTAATAGCACTTGGTACCCCATCGGACTCCTCGCGGGCCGCACTCGGACACCCAGTTCCTGTAACATCTGACTCCTGCAGGAAGCGAGTTATTAGGTTAGGATTCCGTCAGCTTGCGTTCGTTCCTCGTTTTCTGTGACTTTTTAGTATTTTTGCGTCTTAAATATTTTCGTCTCGCCAAATAGGGAAGAATTTAATTCAACTTGTGGAATTCAATTATTCTTACCCTTAGTTACATTTGTTTACGTTTTACAGAGTAAGAAGTAAACAAATCTATCTTCAGCAAATAGTCACTTTTTCGTAAAATCTGTATCTTTTTATCTCACTACATTTTTGAAGGATATAGATTTAATTACATCTAGACATATCTATTAGCTGTAGTTAGGCAAACCTATTAGCTGTAGATAGTCACTTTTTCTTCAAATCTGTATCTTTTTATCTCACTATTTTTTTTAAGGAAATAGAAATAATTACATATATCTATAGACATATATAATAGACAGATCTATTAGCTGATAGTCACGTTTTCTTCAAATCTGTCTTTTTATCTCCCCACATTTTTAAGGAAATACATCTAATTACATCTAGACAGATCTCTCAGCTGTAGTTATTCTTATCTAATTACATTTAGACAGATCTATTAGTTTTAGTTCGTATCTAATTACATTTAGTCAGATCTATTAGTTCTAGTTCTTCTTATCTAATAACATTTAGACAGATCTATTAGCTCTAGTTCTATCTAATAACATTTAGTCAGATCTATTAGCTTTAGTTCTTATCTAATAACATTTAGACAGATCTCTCAGCTGCAGTTATTCTCACCCACGACTTTTTTGTTTACGTCCTCGGGTACTCCTCTCTCCAGCGAACATTCCCCCAGGCTCTCCTCGTCGCCTTGGCACTCCACTCGCTTCAGCCTCACGTCGTTCCCTGGGAGCACGCCGAAAGTCCGCCCCTTCGTTGCTGCCGCTGCTCCTCTGGGGGAAAAAGGGAGAGGGGGGGTTGAGATGAGAAGGTCTGAATCTGCTTTCTTTTTTGGATCTTTTTTCTTTTCTTTTTTCTTTTCTTTTTTCTTCTTTCTTTTTTTCTTTCACTTTCTTTCTCTTTCTGCCTGTCTACCTGCCTGTTTATCTCTATCTATCTATCTATCTATTTACTTATCTATTTATTCATTCATATACTTATCTATTTGTTTACTATTTACTTATCTATCTATTTACCTATCTATTTATTCATTATTTACTTATCTATTTCTTTATATATTTGCTTATCTATCTATCTATCTATCTATCTACTTACCTATTTATTAATTTATTTACTTATCTATTATCGATCTATTTGCTTATCTATATCTATCTATCTATTTACTTATCTATTCATTCATTTATTTACTTATCCATTTATTTATTTATTTACTTATCTATCTATCTATCTATTACTTACCTATCTATTTATCATTATTTACTTTATATTTATTATTACTTATCTATCTATCTATCTATCTACTTACCTATCTATTTATTCATTCATTTACCTATCTATGTCTTATCTATATCTATCTATCTATGTGCTATCTATATCTATCATCTATTTACTTTTCTATTATTCATTTATTTACTCATCTATTTATTTATATATTTGCTTATCTATCTATCTATCTATCTATCTACTTACCTATTTATTAATTTATTTACTTATCTATTTATCGATCTATTTGCTTATCTATATCTATCTATCTATTTACTTATCTATTCATTCATTTATTTATATCCATTTATTATTTATTTTTATATCTATCATCTATCTACTATCTATTTATTCATTTATTTACTTACTATTTATTTATCTATCTACTCTATCTATCTATCTATCTACTTTATCTATTTATTCATTCATTTACTTATCTTATCTATCTATCTATCCTATATCTATATCTATCTATCTTTTCCTTTTCTATTTATTCATTTATTACTCATCTATTTATTATATTTGCTTATCTATTATCTATTTACCTATCTATTTATTTATTTATTTACTTATCTATTTATTATCTATTTCCTTATCTATATCTATCTATCTACTTACCTATCTATTTATTCATTTATTTACATATCTATTTATCTATTTATTTGCTTATCTATCTATCTATCTACCTGCCTAATTATCAATAAACCTTACCTGGTAAACCCAAGACTCCGGCAAACAACGCTGGCATCGCTGAGGGTCCATCGCGAGTCCGTGACGAGCCACCACTGGCCTTCAGCTTCGATCTGCAGGTTAGATAAGCGTCGAGAAATGTAATTAATAATAATTTTCAAAAACCCGCTTTCGTTTACTGTAATAAAAGTTTAGAAAATATATTTATGCTGCTTTTATATGATATGTTTGTCAGAGAGGGCGACAAATGACCTCTGTTATTACGACGAATTCGTATCGTCATAAAAGGTTTGAATTAATATTTTTACTATTTTATATGATGGGTTGTGAGAGAGAGAGCGATAAATGAACTCAATTATTGCGCCAAATTTGAAAACCGAGATCGACAGGTAAACAAACTCATCAACACGACGTGAGTTTTGTTTTGCTTGACACATAATAAACTCATTCATACGATAAATTCGAAACAGAAAATAAACAATAAAAAAAAAAAAAATCAACATGACCCTGTCTTGCTCTTGCACCACCGCTGAAGGTCAAAGGTCAAAGGTCAGAATTTCACCTGAACATATCCTGCCCAGGGAGCGTCGCTGCCCCGGAGTCTGACCTTCTGACCTGAGGGAGGCGCCACCACGTACGACACGCTCTCGGCGCCTGTGGCAGAGATGTGCATTTCACTGATAGATAGGGTGGATGATAGATAGATGGCGAGAATGGTAGCTTGAGAGGCAGAGAGGTGGGAAGAATGATGGTAGAGAGATAGATGGTAGATAGATAGATAGATGGGTAGAAAAAATAGATAGACAGATAGATAATGAGTAGAAAATGGATAGATAGATAGAGATGGGTAGGTAGATAGATAGATAAATAGATAAATAAATAGACTGATAGAAGCATAGACAGATAAATTACGTACAGACAGATAGATAGATAGACAACTAAACATTTAGATACTAAACATTTAGATAGGTAGAGACAGACAGATAAACAGATAGATGGATAGATAAACAGACAGAAAAAAAACATTGTTTGACACCTTTGAAAAAAAAAAAAATAATATATATATATAAAAATTATTGACACACCTTTGAAATAAAAATATAAACGTCCATCTCTATGAAATATCAATACAGTGAAATGGCGTCAGTCTTCCACCGAACGAAACCCCAAAAATTTGTCGCACGTACTTGGGGCCACTCGGCTGCGTGGACACACCGTCTGGTGAGGATGGTCGCACACTCTCTTGGCCGCGTTGAAGAGAGTTCCTGGTGCGCACCGCTGGAGGCTGGGACGTCCGCGCCAGCAGTTAACGAACTTGGAACAGTCCTGGAACGGCGTTTTATGACATTTTACATCGGTGGTCTAGATGGGTTTGAAATAAAAGGTTGTGATCTGGTGGAAATTTGTTTGGTAATGGGAGAGGAAATTCAAGTGTGGTAACGTTGTTTTGGTAAGATCAACATTGTCGATGATATTGTTTGGTAGTTTGTTAATTTTAAGGAATATAGAGATTTTCTGATTAACTTATGTATTACTAAAATCATTAAGTCTGATACGTTCTCGCGAAATAATGAGAAATATTTTAGTTACCCATAAAATATTTCATTTTCTATTATATTAACCAACACTTCATTTTCTATTATATAATCTGGATAACTATTTTAAATAATCATCATTCGATTCCCTACAATATAATTCAAAGATACTCCTACGACCCTCAGATTCCCTAAAACAAATACAACATGTATCATACCGTGAACAATAAACAATATAACAGTAACCATGAATAAACATTTACTCGCCTTGGGGTATGGATAAACACCATCTGGACCGAGACACAGCGTCTTGGAATCACTAATACCTAGTTTGTTCAGGAGACGCTTTCCTTTGTCCTTCGTCCGTTGGTACGTCCAGTCTACCTGTAAGAGGAGACAAAGCATGTAATGATAATGGAGGAGAGGAAATGAGTGGTAAAGGAGAGGATAATGGACGTAATGGAGGATGTAATATGGTCAGCAGGTATAATAGATGTAAAAGTGGGTAAATGGATGTAATAGATGCCATAATAGATGGTAAACAGGCGTAAGAAATGAAGGAGTTATGATATAAGAAGACAGCATATCGATGATGCAAGGAGAATGGAATAAATGGCCAATGCAGTAAAAATGGATAATTAGAATAAATAATAAAATAATGATAATCATACTAATAAAAATGATAAGTGTAGACTATGATGCCATGGGAAGTAGACGATAGAAAATCACTAGCACCTTCAATAGCGAGAAAATCAAGAGAAATATATGAGTTATCGTTTCAATAGAGGATTTTGGCGCGCGTGTGTGTGTTTGTGCGTGTGTGGGAGGGAGTGGGATACGTGCATAAGTGTATGTGCATCTATTACACATGCTCTATTTCATCCGAACATTTAGATTAAGAGAGATACAGATAGTTTCCACAAATACATTCCAGATTAGGATCCAACCATCACAGATTTTCTTGTGGGATCCATCAACCAGCGACATCCCCTCCTTCTGTTCATCATTAATGTCAGTCAGATTTGGTAATTGCTTTCAGTGGCGTTATCGGCAATTGCTTGTGAGTCCTTCTTTATGAGGCGAGTGCTTTAACGTGACCTTTGCCTGCATATAATTTCTATAATTATTATGATATACATTACTTCCTACAAAGGTATCGCCATTAAGTTATTGTTATTTATGTAAAACTAAAGCTAAATCTACGAAAATTTCTCTTTTGTTTAGTTTTCTTTTTTCTTTTTTTCTTTTTTTTTCTCTTTTCTTTTTTATATCCGAAATGAGTGAAAGATTTTCCTTACTATGCAAATAATTATAAATCATTCGTATGATGTTGAATTATGAACATTAATATTTACATCACCAATAACTTATCCACATTTATATCTAAAGAAACGCAAAAAATTATTTATTCAAATATCAAGATTCTGAAATGAGGTTTAACCTTACCTCTACTGAAAGCAATCATGAAACATATTTCAGTTAAATGCAACACACTTTCTTAGCAGTAACTCAATCTTCAAATGCACATAACTGAGGATGTAAATTCAGGAATTTCCAGAACGCTAAAAAATTGAAGTTTGATCAATATATATATATATATATATATATATATAATATATATATATATATATATAGAGAGAGAGAGAGAGAGAGAGAGAGAGAGAGAGAGAGAGAGAGAGAGAGAGAGAGAGAGAGAGAGAGAGAGACAGACAGACAGACAGACAGACAGACAGACAGACAGACAGACAGACAGACAGACAGAGACAGAGACAGAGAGAGAGATTGTCCATCTATCCACAACATAAGATATGTCTATTCCCTAGTATCACAATTTCAAAGTTTTTGTATCTCTCTTCTTGTAAACACGAGAAAGATGTGGCCATAACGTATACTTCAAGAGATACCCCCAAAAAAGAGAAGAATGAAAAAAAAGAAACTTTATTAATAGGTTGTCCGAATAGGGATAGGGAGCGAGTGAAATTACAGTAATAACAGTAATAGCCATGATGAGTAATGAGATTGAGTCAGAACAGGGGGGGAGCGCCTCGCATTACGGTAATAACGGTAATAATAAAGGCAAATAATGTGATTGGCTTTGGAAGAAGAATGTAATAAGTAACTGAGTACAAGAGGTATTAAATCATACACTTCTGCCAGGCTTTTTTTTTTTTCTTTATAGATTTCATACGCAATGATTGGAGTGAGGAATTTGGGAAGAGGCGGAGAGAGATTTGGATAAAGAGAGAGAGGGGCGGTGGCGGAGAAGGAGGGGGTGGCAGAGAGAGAGAGAGAGAGAGAGAGAGAGAGAGGAGGAGAGAGAGAGAGAGAGAGAGAGAGAGAGAGAGAGAGAGGAGAGGGAGAGGAGGGAGGGAGAGAGAGAGAGAGAGAAGAGAGAGAGAGAGAGAGAGAGAGGAGAGAGAGGAGAGACAGAGAGACAGAGACATAGACATTCAGAGAGAGACAGACAGGCAGATAGAGATAAAGACACAGAGAGAGAGAGAGAGAGAGAGAGAGAGAGAGAGAGAGAGAGAGAGAGAGAGAGAGAGAGAGAGAGTGTGTGTGTGTGTGTGTGTGTGTGTGTGTGTGTGTGTGTGTGTGTGTGTGTGTGTGTGTGTGTGTGTGCTTATGTGCGTGCGTGCTTATGTGCGTGCGTGCGTGCTTATGTGGTGTGTGCGTGCTTATGTGCGTGCGTGCGTGCTTATGTGCGTGCGTGCGTGCTTATGCGTGCTTATGTGCGTGTGTGTGTGTGTGTGAATGTGTTCGTGCTCGCGTATCTGTCTGTGTCTCTGTATGCCCGTGTCTCTGAACGTATCCATGCGCCTGTGTCTGTACGTATTTGTATCGATGTCTGCGTCAGTGCATGTCTGTATATATGTATACACAATATCACTTCAACAAACAGATGACAAGCAAAAGACACATCCCCTAAAAATAATA